AGTATACTATGTTGGAATTTCACTTTAGAATATTTGAAATTCATTAGCGATTGTTGGAGTAGTTAAATGTGTTGGGGGTAGTTTGTCCAAAATATACCGTGTTTAAATAAAATGACTAAAATCTAATAACTTTTACATCGTCGCTAATGCTAATAGTAAGGGTAAAAAGTGGCTAGTTACTAATATTACACCAAAAAAGTGCAATCACTAGGCCTATTGGGAGAATATATGGAAATTATTTAAAGTTCTTATCTTTCCTCTCACATTGAAGCCAACAACAACAGGAAATTAGACCTAGTTTTTGGTGCGGGCATAACTACTTTATACTACTCCTTTGTTTCATATTATGTGTTATTTTTATTTATTTTTTCTTGCTGAGATGATTTATAACCATATAAATATTTATATTTTATTTTAGACCATAAATTTTAAAATTGTTTCGTTCTTTTTTAAACACTATGCCTAATCAAATATCAGCATACAAAATGGACGGAGGAAGTAATAAACATGATAGACTTAGGACCATAGACAGGGATGAAACAGAACTTAAATATTATATGGGGGACCAAAATAGAAATGTACTCATTAAATGGTACTTACTACTTGCTATTTTGCACCTATCTGTAAGTTTGAGCCTGGCAAAAATATAGTATCTGACAATGGCCTTGGCCCAACCTGATGAAAAAGCCCAAATGTATTTGCTAACTAGTTGGCAATCAAGGGTGATGAGCCCAAATATCGTGTAAATTAGTAAAAATAGCACGGTATAGCCAGTTTCGAACTGGTCAATCAAAAATAGCCAGCGTTTACCAAGTCAATGAAAAATAGCTACTATTTTGCTGCAATAGAGACTGGTCCAGCATAATATACTGGAGTTCGGTGCACTTGTGTATGAACTCCAGCATATTATGCTGGACCGGTATACTTTGCTGGCTCCAGTATAATATACTGGAGACTGGAGCACCGGTGCTCCAAACTCCAGTATATTATACTGGACCAATATACTTGCTGGAACTCCAGTATATTATGCTGGAAGTGTACTTATGCTGGAATTCCATCATATTATGCTGGAGCTCCAGCATACATACTTATCCTGGAACTCCAGTATAATATGCTGGAGTTCAAGTATACTTATGCTGGAACTCCATCATAATATACTGGAGTATTTTTCGAGTTTTGAACAGTGTTTTCGCTCAGATTTATCTTTACATAAAAAGTGGCTAAATTTCGATTACTTTTGAAATTGGGCTATTTTTGAACGACCAGTTGTAAATCTGGCTATTTTTGGATTTCTCCCGATAAATTACGGGGAGAAATTAAAAATAGCCAGATTACAAGTTGGTCATTCAAAAATAGCCATAGTTTCAAAAGTAATCGAAATTTAGCCACTTTTCATGTAAAGATAAATCTGAATGAAAATACTATTCAAAATCCGAAAAATATTCCAGTATAATAATATATTGGAGATTGGTACACCGGTGCCCCATTCTCCAGTATATTATACTGAAACTTTCCGCGTGTTGGAGTTCCAACATAATATGCTGGAAGTTCATACACAGGTGCACCGATCTCCAGTATATTATGCTGGAACTTTCTGTGTTGCAGTAAAATAGTGGCTATTTTTCAATGACTTTACAAACGCTGGCTATTTTTGAATGACCAGTCCGAAAACTGGCTAGCCCGTGCTATTTTTACGTAAATTACGTAGTATATTTGTTCTAAAAAATAATAGTCGATTATCATATATATACCAATTTTTTGTATAATTAGTTACTAGAGCCGACCAGCCAAATATGTAACTTGCCCATGAATATATATGTCTTACTTGCGCATGGCACCATCTCCTCCATGTTCTTCCATTAAGATGCCAGCATGTACTATTTGTACCCACACCAAAATATTTCAACTAAGATTGATATAATAAGGAAATAATAAATTAAACCATATTATAATTGCTATTCTCGGCTCATTAGATGCCAGCATGTACAAATATTACTAATTTCGTCAGCTAGAATGGTTACAATAATTTTTTATAATTATTATTTTTTGAAAAAAAAATAATACCTAGAAAGACTAATCAGTTATTTCTTTCATTGTTCACAACAGGCCAATATTGACACTAATAGTAGGTATAATTAAATAACTTTTTATCTATTTTTCAAATGATTAACCTTATATGATTAATATAACACATACTAGAAGGTTGTAGTTAGGTTTAAGTCATTTAATTGTGTCAATTATTTTTACTACCCTCGGTAAATAAAACTTAACTCACGCGCGTACTGCAGAATAGTAATTGTAGTTGAAAGAAAATGGTAGTCTATGTGGAGAACTTCCATGTTCAAATTAACTCCATAGAGTTGCAAATAGAGCTAAAACATAGCTACTGCCCATCGATAATTTAATGAAAGTTGTTAGGTTTATTTACTACTCTTTTAGTGCCCTCCCCTTATCATCTTCCTTCTAGAAATCACTCACACAACAACTATTAAAGACTGCCATTCAACCAGCCCTAGTATAAAACCCGAGTCAGTATTTAAAGCATATGTGTTTTAAATTTACTCCTTTTAAATTATAAGTTTTAAATCAATAAATTATACATATTAAATAAATTTCTTAAGACAAATATAAAATTTGAATATAAATAAATTTGATCGAACCTGCACCTTAAACTCTAGTTCGGCTCTGCAAAAATTGAACCGCAAAGCAAATATACAACAATAAAAAAATCTAGTGTAATTCTATAGGTGAGGTCTAGGGAGGGTAATATATGCGCCAGTGACGAAGCTAGGAATTTCTCTAAAGGTGTTCAAATTTGAAAAAAGTGAAAAAAATTTCGACAAAGGGTGTTCAATATGTGTTATATAGAGTTTTTGGCTAAAAACATCCCTCAACTATGGCTCAAACCTAAGGTACATCCTTATGTTACTAGATTAAACAAAAAACATCCCTTAACTATTCCAGAAGTTGCAATAACCATCCTTCCGTTTAGTTTCTGTCAAGAAACTAACAGCATAAACCAACACAAGTGACTTCAACCCTCAATCTCCCAAATGTGTCCCTCAACCCCATCATCTTCCACCTACACGAAACTAAGACTTTAGAAACTAAAATTTCTTTCATTTTCAACTTCATAAAATAATATATATATTGAGCAAAGTTAGACAAAGAAGAGATTAAAGCAGGTTAATCTTCTAAACCAAATTAAAACACGTGACTTCCACCTCAGTCTCCTAGTCAAAAGTAATGCTCAGAGCTTTTAATCACCACGGTTTGGTGATGATTTATCATGGAAACAACCTAGTGAATTTTATATTACTTTTTCTGCAGTACTTCAACTTTATGGGTATGTTATCAATTCAGAGATTATGATAAGATGAAGGTTCTTTTGAGTCAAATCATACAGCGAAGTCTACTACATAAACGAACTAAAATATGCTAAATTTAGTTCACTGAATAATGTGACTTGAAATTCACACAGGACATGCATAAAGCATTTTACTAAACCAGGTAAGTGGCATCTCTGACTTAGCAGATCTTAATTATTGTATAGTTATTTTCTAGATTTCCTTAGCAAAGACAATAATCTCTTTCAAGATGAAGAAGATGTACAGAACAAAAACTAAATTAATCCCGCTCGTCTACTACATTATCCAATTAAAACACTGTTGGAACAAGAAAGAAGAGAAAGATTATGGACTTGACTTAATTTTACTTTTTTCATGAAGCGTAAGTACTGCTTGGGAAGGCAAATTGTGTCAAACCAATAGCTCTTTCAGTTTTAATGACGTAAAACTGTGAAAGAGCTAGAGTTTAGAATGAACGGAAACTTCAATTTTTCAAAGCCTGCTTCGCTAATTTTGGGGAAAAGTCACGTGCTTGACATGTGTTTTGGTTTATGCTGTTAGTTTTTTGACGGAAACTAAACGGAAGGATGATTGTTGCAACTTCTGGAATAGTTAAGGGATGTTTTTTGTTCAATCTACTAACATAAGGATGTACCTTAGGTTTGAGCCATAGTTGAGGGATGTTTTTAGTCAAAAGCTCTGTTATATACCTCTAAAACGTAATATTTTACCTATATACACAATATAATTTTTCGACGAACCAACCTTATGACCATGTGGTTTTGCCCATGGTATACGCAAACCTTATCCTATCTTGAGAAGATAGAGAGACTATTTTTGATAGACACTCAGCTCAAGGAAAGATAAAAAAGAAGCGAAGCAAATATACTCTGCACATGTTATACAAAATGCGCAACTACCATACCTTTTATTCTTTTAAATTAAATTTAAATATATTAATTTGTTCAAATTTCATTAATCATACGGTGCTGACAACTGCAGAATACTGTAGTAGCAGAAGTATTTTAGAGCATGATAAAACCTTGTTTGAACTACTTAGTCCTTGAATATTCGATGGAAAAAGAAAAAGAAGACTAATAAGAGTCATTATTTGGGTCGGTTTGGAATAAATGCCCCCCCAACTAACACCTACCAGTACCCATTTAATGAGCCCACAAAACTAAGAGAAAATTAGATTGATAGGAAAATGTCAATTTCTTCTTCTATTTATTTTATCCTTTGGGAATGGAGTCGAGTACACAAATTTATTAAGGGGTAAAATTTGAATTCCACCAAACTTTTTATTACAATATCTTCCATTTATGCACAATTCATAAACCAATCCCATGCCGCAATTTTTTAAAAGAAAATTAACATATTATAACAATGATGAGTTTGGCGTAATAGTCAATGAAGTGAAAAAAATACTATATTGAAGATCAAAGTTCAATCTCAAGTAGAGACATCGAAAAACCAGGTCCTTTGATAGACAAAGTTACTTACTGGTAGGCAATAATAAGTATATTGGGAAACGATGAAGGTGCACACAAATTAACCAAAACACCACGATTTATAAAATTAAAAAAAAAAAAAAAAAACTTAATGATTAAGGTATCCATAATTTCTTCTTCCCTTAATTGAAGAAGTGGATGGTTGATAGTAGTTGTTATGGGCATGTGAAGCAGTGAAGAGTGTGTGATGTGATAGAATTCAAGCCAATCAAAAATTCCCATATCCCCTTTTTCTTTTTGCATGAACCATTTTCAGTCAAATTCATAACAATTTCATTTCCTCTCCCTCTTCACACATACAATATTCATTTCACCATTTTGTTGCCACATTCAGCTCACAAAAAAATAGTTTAGTACCTCAGCTTGTCCATACCTATTCTGTAGGGGTAAATGCACAGCCCATTTAGAAGAATTATTCAGAAGTTTCTCTCTTGTTTTTTTCTTGTATCAAAAACCGACCATGCTTATGCTACATTGAGTATTCCCTTTTAATTTTTCTGCTTTCAGATTCAAGAAAAGTCCAAAACTTAAGTCAAAATTTCTTGGCTGTCTGTTAGCTGTTGTTTCTTTCTTACTTCATACTCTATATCTTTTAGCTGTTCTATCTTCTTACTTCATATACTCAAATCTTGTCCAAAACAGAATTAAGTAGGGTAAAAAACCAGAAGAATGAGGAACACGTCATCATCAACAACATCAGCAAATGATGTGATGATGGAAATTGAAGCAAGTAAACCACAAGGTCATGGTATTGTTGTAGGTGGATTAAGTCCTTTAAGTGAAACATTATGGAAAGAAAAAACAAACACAGAGTTTATCGGAGATGTTTCGGCTCGCTTAGCTTGGAAAGATCTGACTGTAATGGTTACTCTTAATAATGGAGAAACACAAAATGTTTTAGAAGGACTTACTGGTTATGCTGAACCTGGTTCTTTTACTGCTTTAATGGGTCCTTCTGGTTCTGGCAAATCTACACTTCTTGATGCCTTATCTGGTCGTCTTGCTGCTAATGCTTTTCTCTCTGGACGAATTTTACTCAATGGTCGTAAAGCTAATCTTTCTTTTGGAACTGCTGTAAGTATATCTTATTTGTTAAGTATAAGCCGAAACCAGAGGCAGAGCCAAAATTTAGAGTTTATGGGTTCTGAACTTACCATCGAACCCAAACCTCATTTTAGATACAAGATTTAAGCAGAAGCTACTGTGTTGAAAATGATGTTTTTTGTTAATGTACAGGCATATGTAACACAAGATGATACGTTGATTGGAACTTTAACAGTTCGGGAGACAATATCATACTCGGCTCAACTACGGCTACCTGATCGGATGCCGTGGTCGGAGAAACGGACGCTGATTGAAAGCACTATTATTGAAATGGGACTTCAAGATTGTGCTGATACAGTTATTGGAAACTGGCATTTGCGTGGTATAAGTGGAGGTGAAAAAAGGAGAGTTAGTATTGCTCTTGAGATTCTCATGAGACCTAGATTGCTCTTTCTTGATGAGCCAACTAGTGGTCTTGACAGGTAATAATATTTTCAAGCTTATCTCTTTTTTGCTTGTTCAGTAAATAGATCTATGGATAACATTTGAAATGAACTAAATGTTTTTTTTTCTTTTGTAGTGCTTCGGCTTTCTTCGTTACACAGACGTTGCGTGGACTGTCCAGAGATGGAAGAACTGTGATAGCTTCAATTCATCAGCCGAGTAGTGAAGTATTTGAGTTGTTTGACAGATTATATTTGCTTTCTGGAGGCAAAACAGTTTACTTTGGTCAGGCTTCTGAAGCATATGAGGCAAGATTTCTCATTCCGTCGTATTATTGTTAGGATTTAACTTATATACATCAACAATATTATTGTTAAGATTTTTGTTAACACTCAGATCAAGAACCGCGAAAGTCTCAAAAAAATTGGTTGTGTTTTCACTTTGCAGTTTTTTGCACAAGCTGGATTTCCTTGTCCTGCTCTGAGAAATCCATCAGATCATTTCCTACGGTGTATTAATTCTGATTTCGACAAAGTTAAGGCAACTCTAAAAGGGTCGATGAAGCTACGGGTATTCAAATTTCTTTCCTTTGATCATCTTGTTTCACTTCAAAATTCCTTATCTTTGTTAGCTTAAGCATTAATGTAGTACAAAATATGTTTATTTTAATTGCTATTGTATTCTGTTTCACAGAGTGAAACAATTGAAGTATGCTTACCATGTGCTTTTGTTTCCAATAATGTGCAATAAAATAATCAATAAACTATACAATCTGCAGCATTCTGCTGTTCTTTTAATCCAGTGGCCTATTAGTTTATTTAAACCAAAGTAAACTACTTTTAAGCAATATTAGCATTGTTTCCTTCGTCTAACTTTGTATTTTCTGGTTCTTATCAGTTTGAGTCCAATGAGGATCCTCTTGACAAAACAACAACAGCTGAAGCTATACGCACTCTAGTTGACTATTATCGTCGTTCTCAGTACTCTTACTCAGCTAACGAAAGGGTTGAAGAGATGTCGAAAGTTGTAAGTTTTGATGTTCCAACTTTGATCAATGCTCTGTCATCATCTAACCATTTTCTCCTATCAAATATGATTATTAATTATTCATTTTGGTGCATAACAGAAAGGAACAGTGCTGGATTCTGGAGGAAGTCAGGCTAGTTTCTTCATGCAGTCCTTCACCTTAACCAAACGTTCCTTTGTTAACATGTCAAGAGATTTTGGTTATTACTGGTTGAGGCTTGTTATCTACTTAGTCGTCACTATCTGCATTGGAACTATCTATCTTAATGTCGGAACCGGTTACAGTTCCATCCTGGTAATATCCTTCTCCTGTAATGAAACTTTTTTTTTTTTTTTTGCTTCAGGTCGCCTAAAACATAACTACAGGTTATCGTACATAACCTAGAAAACAAGACACGTTACCTAATAGTCTAATACAATATGTTAAAAAACTTTTAAATCCAAAGGGAAAAACACAGCCACAAAGTTGAAATTTTTTAACTTTCTCCCTTGTTAATAAACGAGAAGAAATGAACCTCCTTTCTGCTATATGTTCAACTGGTGAAACAGGCAAGAGGAGCATGTGCATCATTCGTCTTTGGATTTGTGACATTCATGTCAATTGGAGGATTCCCTTCTTTCGTTGAAGATATGAAGGTTTGTACCTAAAATCCTAATCTTGAAAAAGCTATCCAATTTTTTGACAGCACACTATATATAACAACTTGAGCCATTTTCCCCCCATTGAAAACAGGTTTTTCAAAGAGAGAGGATGAATGGACATTATGGTGTTACTGCATTCGTCGTGAGCAACACCTTATCCGCGATGCCATTCCTGATATTAATCACGTTCCTCTCAGGCACTGTCTGCTATTTCATGGTCCGTTTACACCCGGGCTTCACACACTATTTGTTCTTTGTGGTGTGCCTCTACGCGAGTGTCACTGTTGTCGAAAGTTTGATGATGGTCATAGCTAGTATTGTCCCTAATTTCCTCATGGGAATTATTATAGGTGCTGGAATTCAGGTACTTAAACTTCATTAGTTTCCCTTCAATTAGTCATATTACAACCATTTCCAACAGTCTAAATTAATGTATTGTTCTGTTTTCCTCTTGATGTTAGGGAATATTTATGCTTGTCTCTGGTTACTTTAGACTCCCCAATGACATCCCAAAGCCTTTCTGGCGTTACCCGATGTCTTACCTCAGTTTCCACTTCTGGGCACTACAGGTAAGACTATGAATTCAGTTTAACTTCTATACACTGACAGAATTATCTGTACATTGCACGTCTTATTTGTGTTAACCAAATGGTGGATGGTGCAGGGGCAATATCAAAACGATTTGATGGGGTTGGTGTTTGATAACACGAGTCCTGATCTTCCAAAGATTCCAGGTGAATTCATACTAGAACAGATATTCCAGATCGATCTGAACAGATCAAAATGGATAGACGTAAGTGTCATCTTCGTCATGATAATCACTTATCGAATCATCTTCTTTATCATGATCAAGATCAATGAGGATGTCACGCCTTGGATTAGAGGTTACATTGCCAGAAGAAAAATGCAGCAGAAAAATGGGAATCAAAAACAGACTATTGCACCTTATGGTCTCACTCAATCACCCTCTCTTAGGGCCTATGTGGGAAATAACCATGGATCAAATAGCAATCGTCACTAGATAAAGTGAGGCATAGTAATGTTAACTAATAATGTTAAAAAGACCCCCCAAAAAATTGAAAGGCTTATTATTCGTTACTACAAAAATTTGTATCAAATTATATACGAGGAGATGGTATTTTTTTTATTTTCCATATTTAACCATTCTTCAGCTTGGTGCTTTAAATATATGCTAGTATGAATTATCAACTGTCAAATGTTAGCTTTTTTTTCTTCTCCTATTTGTATTATTGTTGATGCGAGAGAGACTGCATATTTTGTATGTCAATAGGTGTGATTCTTTTTCTGTTTTTTTTCTTCTGCTAAAAGCTTGGTCAAACACTTCAACTTTGAAAAAAAAATATTTTTTTTTTTGAAAAAAAATGTACATTTGGCTTTGGAAAACTCGGGCAAACAAGCTATAAGTATCATTTCGTTGTTTTCAAGTTTTAATACGTAGGGGTATTCCTAGTGTTTGTGCACCTTTTTGTTTAACTACCTTATATAGAGTTCAAAATCTAATTTTACTAATTAATAAAAATAATTATGACCAACATTTTTGAAACTAGTACTCGTATTCCATCATTTGGAGTGAAATTATATGGGACAAATACTGGTAAAACACATGTTAGCGTTACTTGAGAGACATTTATAAGCTATTCTGAATTCAGTTATTAACCCAGACGAGACATTGTATGTAACACTCTTCAAATTTATAAAAGTTTCAACACATGCTAAATATAGAATATAATTTTTTTATTTTAAATTATACTTCTATTACGGATTTAAACCCTTATGATTGACTTTAGAGTTACTTCTCTATTTATAAATAATTGGATATACAATTAGGGAAATATTAATAATTTTAATATTATTAATTATTAAAAGTGGCTATAACTAATTATTAGTTAAGTGAAAAAAAAGCAATAAAAAAAAATAGGGGGACAAACCTAAAAGCCCATAAAGGGCTGTTGGAACCAAAAGGACTGAAATCCTTTATACGAAAAAAACAGAGAAACCTTCTGTTCCTTCTCACGAACAGAACCACGAAACAGAGGCAGCAAATCCATCGACCTATTTCACGCAGACAACGCGAAAAGTCTAGGCTTCTTTACAAATAACTATTCTTGAACACATGTAGGTAAAATTTTCTATCCTCAACTATCCTACAGTATAAGAATTGGATAGTTAATTCCCTTCTTTCTCTGTACCAACAGTAAATCCCATCTTTAGGTGTGAAAATTTGAAAATAATTAAAATGCACTAGTTGTTGTAGAATCGATTGTTTGACGAGTATAAATTGGATTGGAGCCTACGTATTGGCTCGGGGAGTTTTGACGTGAGTTGATATAACCCTTTACTAAAGTGGTTTAACTCACAAAAGCACACATTCAAGGTGTTTGATGAATTGCTTAAAAGAGTTAATATGTACTTAATTGGAGTGAGTGAGTACCTATTAGCTTAGAATTATTTTAGTTAAAGTTTAGATGATTTATTCTGATATATGTGCTTAAATTTTCAGATTTTTGTGTAATTCTTATAGGCCATTTTCATGTTGAAAAAGAAAATTTCATGAAGAAGCAAGAATCTTTAGTAATACTTTTGAATGTTTATTCAATTCTTATGAAATACCTTACATTTAAGAATTCCAGAATAAGTATGTTTTAAAGATTTAGACTTGAAAAGTCACACGAAGAAGTTTTAGAAAGAAAAGATTTTTGGGAGTATCCTTTATTCTGAGAAGGGGTCATCGTCCAGGCCGAGGGTCCTCACCAAGGCGTTGACTTCCTGAAACTACTTGTGCCAAAGTAGGGAGCACACGAGCCGAGGGTCTCGTTGCTGAGAATTTACTTAGCCATGCTAAGGTATGATACATGAGCGCTGAGAACCATGAAGCGAGTGGCACCTCGTGGATTGGGCCAATTCGATCAGGTTGGGATCGAACCAGTGCCGATCACACGGTGACTAAGACAGAAATAGGTCAGGATAGTTGGAACTCCCAAAGTATAAAGTGAAGTATATTTTTCTGGAAAGAAAAAGAAAAGAATTTCTTTTAGAATATTCATAAACTACTATTATGCGATTATTTTAGAATTGTTCTTATAAGATTTACGTTTTACATGCATTTAGAACCTTTGCTCGTAATGTATATTTTATTAAAGTTTTGCCCCCTGTCGTTGAGACTCACTGAGTACAATGCATGGTACTGGCGTTCTCTTTTGGGAACCTATGTTGGTCTGCGGTACAACATAGGAACCGATTTTGCAAGCGAGCAGGTTACACGTTAGGACTTCCCTCTCTTCCAGTACTATTGGTGAGCTCCACTTTTGTTCGTGGAGTATTCTTTTGAGTCATATTTATTTAGTTATTTTTTTTCTTGGAGAACTAGCCAGGCAATCTCATGTCCTGAGCAGTGCGTCAGTTTATCAGTAGAGGCTTCATAGACATAGTCGTTGGGTTAAGATTCAAATGTTTTTGATAATAACTTAGCAGTATTTCAGTGGTTACTACAGATAAAGTTTTGGAGTTGGTTTATTTTAAATATTCAAATTAATTAAAAGTATTTGGTTAAAGTATTGCCTTGTTGCATATAAAGTTTGATGTTATAATAGATTTGTTAAGCGTAGATGGTTCGCTCAGTCATGTTTAGTGATCGGATGCCGGTCACGGCTTGTTCAGAAAATGGGTTGTGACAAACTTGGTATCAGAGCCTCAGGTTTATGGAGTCCTAAGGGTCTATGAAGCCGTGTTAGTAGAGTCTTGTTTATGGGTATGAAGCGCGCCATAATTATAAACAAGAGGCTACAAGTATTTAGGAAAAGTCTCATTATTTTTCATACTTTAGATCGTGCACTAGAGTCTACCTCTAAGAAATTATCTAATGTATTCGTTTCTCCAAAATACGTAGAAATGGCTCGTACTCGCAACTCTGACACCGACACTCAGGATGCTGCTCAAGAAGCTATTACTACTATTGTTGTACATGGTAGAACCAAGAAGGCTTCAACTCGGAAAAGGAAGGGTAAATCCACAAAGGGGGTTCAAGTACCCCGGGTTGAACATGAAGAAGGGATGGAACATGATGATCCAGTACCTCAGGATCCAGTGCCGCCCCCAACAGCAGTTCCGGCTCAGACAGCTATATCTCCAGATGTGGGTCAGACAGTGCTATGGAGATGTTTAAAGCCTTCATGGCCAATCAGAACGAGAGAAGAAATGAGATTCCACCTCAATCAAATAGACAAAACAATTCTGAGTCCTCAAGAGTGAATGAATTTTTGAAGTTGAGTCCTCCATTGTTCCATGGTTCTATGGCTGATGAAGATCCAATGTTGTGGCTAGAAGGTGTCAAGAAAGCCCTCCGATCGATGAAGACATTTGATGATGAAGCTGTGGAGCTGGTTGCTTACTAGCTTAGAGATATGGCTGGCGCTTGGTTTGAGATGTGGGAAAAGGAAAGAGATAAAGATGATGGTCCGCCTACTTGGGAAGAATTTGAAGAGGCCTTCATGGCTAACTTTATCCCGGAAGAGGATAGGGAAGCTAAGGCTACAAAGTTCGAACAACTCAAGCAAGGGAATAAAAGTGTGCAAGAGTACTACATGGAATTCATAAGGTTAGCTAAGCATGCTCCTCACATGGTTAAGACAGAAAAAGCAAAGATTCGCAGGTTTGTTGGCGGTTTGGCTTACCACATCAAGGATACGACATCAGTTGTAGCGGTAGGAAGGACAACTTTCTCCTCTATTGTGGGATTCGCCAAGCACTTAGAAAAAGACAGACAACAAAGGAGAGAAGAAAAAGAGCAAAACAAGAAAGCCCGGACAACGGGCAGGTTTAATGGTACATCCAGCGGAGGTGGAAGGGGTTCCTCTGATAAGGAGTCATTAGCACCAGCTCAGTCTAGTCATCAGTCAGGTGGTGGGTCTTTCTTCAGACGTACTCAGAGTTATGGAAATCAGTCTCGCCAGAATCCAAATTTTAGGACATCATCCTCACATAGCTAGAGTTATGCTGAGCAACATTCACAACAACAAGGTCTTTGTGGAACATGTAAGCGGCAAAATACAGGTCAGTGCAAGTCGGGTTTCATGGTTGCTATCATTGTGGAGACATTGGTCATATAAAGGCCAACTGCCCCTCAGCATCACTTGTAGGTAAGTTTATTTCTTACCTTAAGACACAACGAATGATCGGAAAAGGGTGTCTCGCCTATTTGGCTCACATCATTAATCCAGAATCAGAACCACCAACTCTTTAGTCTGTGCCAGTTGTTAGAGAATTTCCAGAAGTTTTCCTAGATGACCTTCCCGGACTTCCTCCTAAAAGAATCATAGACTTTGGCATTGATTTCATGTCAGGCACTTAGCCCATATCTATACCTCCTTATAGGATGGCTCCAGCAGAACTTAATGAGTTGAGAGAACAGTTGAAAGACCTTCTTGACACGGGCTTCATCAGGTCGAGTGTTTCACCGTGGGGTGCCCCGGTCCTGTTTGTCAAGAAGAAAGATGGGTCTCTCAGAATGTGCGTCGACTGTCGGCAGTTGAATAAAGTTACCATTAAGAACAAGTACCCACTGCCAAGAATTGATGATTTATTTGATCAACTTTAGGGGGAAAAGTACTTTTCAAAGATAGACTTGAGGTCGGGGTGCCATCAGTTGAGAATCAGAGAAGAAGATATATCTAAAACAGCCTTTAGAACTCGCTACGGGCACTATGAATTTCTAGTGATGTCCTTCGGGTTGACAAATTCTCCAGCTGCATTCATGGACCTCATGAATAGAATTTTCAAGCCATTCCTTGATACCTTTATTATCGTGTTTATAGACGATATTTTGGTATACTCTAAGAGCAAAGATAATCATGCAGAACACATCAAAATAGCCTTGCAGACCTTGAAGGAGAATGAGCTTTATACCAAGTTTTCAAAATGTGAGTTTTGGTTGCAGTTAGTGGCATTCTTAGGCCACGTGGTATCTAGTGAAGGCATAAAAGTAGATCCTCAGAAGACAGAAGCAGTCAAGAACAGGCCTAGGCCGACAACACCACCCGAAATCAGGAGTTTCTTGGGGTTAGCTGGCTACTATAAAAGGTTTGTAGAGGGGTTTTCCTCACTTGGAGCTCCATTAACTAAGTTGACTCAGAAAGCAGTTAAGTTCCAGTGGTCAGACGCTTGTGAGCAGAGTTTTCAAGAGTTAAAGAAGAGGTTGACC